CTGGGGCCTCTGATGTTGGCAATTGGAGGCTGTAGGGTTCTGGCAGCTTACCTGGTGGTGGGCTGGAATCAGCAAGGCTAGAACTCTAGGGCAATTCTAAGTTGCCTGCTTTTCCTTTTCTGTAGCTTTCTTCAGTTCCTTTTAGATGGATGTTGTAAGGTGTTTATCTGCCTAGGACCCTTTGTGGTGCTGCTTCCCTTAGTTTTGCTGAGGCACTGGGAGACATGTTTGCTGTAGAATGCCAAGGCACCAGGATTTCCTCCTGGTGTGCTAAAGTGGGGTTTGTGCTAGCTGGCTGGGACATCTCCTGTTCTGTACTGTTCCCCTTCCTCCAGGGTATGAGGGGCCTTTCCCATTAATCCCTCAAGCTACCTGAGCTACTGCACTGCTGCTCCCTGTCTTTCTTCTCGTTCAGGGTTTTTTCTGGGGTGATATTTTCTGGGCTTTCAGAGGTTGAGAGGGGAGGGTGAGAGCAACTACTTTTTTACTCTGCCATCTTGACTCCTATAAGCAGAAGTCCCACAGATGACTTTTTTAAGAAGATAACCTCTCAAGGAATTGATGAAATATGCTGGTAGAATGAGTTTCATCTCTAGAAGCACTCTCTGCCCTTAAATTCAATGACAGAGACCAAGAAAAGAATGTCATTGGAATGCTTTATTGTATACTAGACTATAAGCACCACAAAGGAAATCTAGTACAAACATTTCAGTTTGACCAGGGCCTAGAATTGCGCTCTGCAGACAGTAGATGCTTAATAAGTGTTTATTGAATTTCGACAATTAGACGGAGAGCTTGCAGATAGTGATGAGAAATATTTCCTTGTTTGGGCACTCTTTCCACATTACCTAAGAAAAGACTGTATGTGCTTTGTAGGCAAGTTTCAACACTTTTTTTTAAAATGGTGAACTCAGTGTAATTTTTTCTGAGAAGTTAATTGCCTGACTGACACTAGGACAACAAAACATAGGAACTGTATGTTCTGGTCTCAGGATAGACATAGAGTTAATCTGAAGCAGCTGGCCAAACCTAACGGTGTCTGTTAATCTTGGAAATTTGCATTTCAGAATTATTAATTTTTTGTTGACAAAAACTGCTTTACTAATCTGTATTTGTAATCCTTGACTAGCAATTACTCACTGGCTTGTGACTCTGAATAAAGTACACTTTGAAGGATTAGCGTGCCCTTAGTGCCACATCATCAGGAACCCTGCCCCAGAATGAGGTATAAAGGCAGCTGACTAGATGGCCAGAGTATTCATTAGAATCCTCAGACATTCAGGTGCTGCTGAAGCATCAGAGATAAACCTTTGAGAAGATGAAGATTCTCCTGCTCACTGTGGGGCTGGCCTTGGTCTGTGGTCTCCAGGCCCTCGATAACAATGAAGAAGGCTCACCAAAGGTAAGTGAGCAAGAATGGGAACAGGTCGATAGAGTGGTGTGGCAAAGGTGTGAGGGTAACAGGTAAAGAAAACAGAACATCTTTGGGAAGAATAAAGCAAAAATAGAGCTTGCAGCTGAAAGGAAAAGATGTGCATTTGTGTCTTCTCACTCAAAACTATCCTTCCCAATAGTTGTATCACCTAGCAATGATTAAAGTCAGCACAAAATATCAAGTTACACATGAGTGCATGCTCATTACTTATTTCTTTTAAATAACTAGAATAAAAATAGCCCCCAAGACTAACTCATCACAGCATAAACCCATAAAACAGATTCTACATCTGTTCAATGAAGGGTTGCACTGGATCATCTATAAGAATTTTCTCACTGTAAGATGCTGAAACCATGAGATGCTATTCCTTCAAAAAAACTGTAATTGAAATCTGTGCTCTCTGCTTCTGGTTGCACTAGTAAATGAGATGATAAATTCCAGCAAGTCTCCTTTTCTGTGACCTGCCATTTAAACCAGTTTTGCTAATAATATTCAGATGGTAGCTTGAGGGCTTTTGTTCTGCACATGTACTGGGATTAGATGACAAATGAATTTTGTGATAAGGAGTTATCTCACATCTAGATAGAGTTGGGGGAAAGGAATCCCCCAGAACCATGAGTGGTTAGAGTCAAAGAATGAACACATGTCTCTCATAAGTAATCAGGGAGAATTACTTTTAGGACCCCAGTAAGGATCTTTCACCTTCCTGTGACAATCTCTCTCCTTAATCCACAAATAACTTAAAAAATTACCAGTGACATCTAAGTCCAAAATACATAGTAAGAGAAGTAAAAATAATGTTATCAATAGAATAATGCCATGAAACACATTGTGCAAATACAGTTAGACCCATCTTGGGGTAGTGGGGTGGGGGGAGGAAGTGGGAGAACCTGTGGCCTCAAGGCCACACATGGCCCTCTAAGTCCTTAAGTGTGGCCCTTTGACTGAATCCAAACTTCACAGAACAAATCCTCTTAATAAAAGTTTTTGTTTTGTAAAACTCAGATTCATTCAAAAGGCCATACCCAAGGACCTTGAAGGCCACATGTGGCCTCAAAGCTACATATTTTCGACCCCTGCATTGGACAAATGAGCAAACCAGGGTACCAAACAGTTAAACAACTTGCCAAAAGTCACAGAGTGAGTTACTATCAGAGCCAGACTAGAACTCAAATTTCCTAACTCCTAGTCTCATGAGCTTATTGCTTTACTATGAAGATAATGCATGAAGCAGGTAGGATTGGAGTAAAGATATACTGTATCTTTGAAGTCTCAGTTTCCTCACTAGTATAACGAGGGATTTGGACTATGGTCCTTCCAAGTGTAAAAATACAATGAGCCTATGTGACCAGGGACGTCTTTTTTCAACTCTCATCTAAACTCTTTTCCACAGGTTAGTGGAAAGTGGTTCACTATTGCATTGGCCTCAAATGTGACATCTAAGATTGAAGAAGGAGGTAGCTTGCAGGTGTTTGTCAAAAATCTTAGTGAACACAATGGTAATCTTTATGGAGACTTCTTCAAAAGGTAAGTGCTATAAAGTTGGTGTTAGTTGGTGGATATGGAAGTGGGGACAAAAACCTGGGTAATAGTTCTAGGATCCTTTAACCCACCCAGGCTGAACCAGGAGTCAATTAATGATGAAGACCCCAGGATGTGGTTGGTTTTATGAACATTAAGGTAATCGTTCAAGGAAAAACAAATTAATAGGCTACACACATACTTGAAGCTTGTGTGCAGTGGTGAAGGACAATGCTGATTAATGGTATTTTTATATGAAGTTTGGATTTTTGAATCACCCTCTGGGAGAATTACCATTTCCTTTCTGTGCCTAACTTTCCTGAGTCACCAGTCTCCATTTCATAGTAGAGATAGGATACTTGAGGCCACTCCGCTAAGAAGACAAAAAGCAGAGTGAGAGAGAAGAAAGAAAGATGTTCACTTAACTCACACGTTCACAGTAGCTTATTTAGCCATTCCCCAATTGATGGGCATCAACTTTGCTTATAATTCTTTCCTACTCCAAAAAAACACTATCGATATTTTTCTTAATAAAGGGCCTCTCTTTTACTCATTGACTTCCTTAAGATATATTGTTAGCTTTGGGCTCTCTGGCTCTATCGGTGTTTTCTTAGCATAATTTCAAATGGTTTCCCAAATCAATTGGATCAATTTGCAACTTCAACAATAATGCATTTGTTCTGTCTTTGTCCAGCTAATATAATACTTACTATTCCTATTTTTTGTCATTAATGTTAATTTGCTGTGCAAGAGGTAAATCCTCAGAGTTTTTTCAATTTGCATTTCTCATATTATTAGTTTAGAACATTCTTTCCTTTGGTTGTTAACAGTTCATAATTTTTTCCTGAAAATTTTTGTTATTATATACAATCAGATTAGCTAGGTGCCTCAGTAGAGAGAGCACTGGGCCTGGAGTCAGGAAGACCTGAGTGCAAATTTGGCCTCAAACACTGTGTGATGTTAATCAAGTCATTTGACTTCTATTTGCTTCAGTTTCCTTATCTGTAAAATAGTAATAATAATAGCACCTATTTCTCACAGTTGTTATGGTGATCCAATGAGGTGATACATATAAAATGCTCAGCACCATATTTGGCACATAATAAACACTTAATAAATGTTGTTGTTAGTGTTGTTGTTGTTATATCCTTCAATTATTTTTCTATTGGGAAAAGGCTTGGATCTTACATATTACTATTAGTTACCTATATATTTTAAGTATATTAAACTTAAATGTATTTGATTCAAAAGGTTTTTCCCCAGCTGACTGCTTCCTTTCTCATCCCACTTATTTTATTTTGTTTAAGCAAAATTTTTTCAATTTCATTTATTAGAAAATATCCTCCTAAGTATATTTGTGAAAGGTGCTTAATATGATTTTCTGCTTATTTTTATGACCATTAATATTCAACATATATCTCTTTGAGTTATAGTATAAACTTACAGTATAACATTATCTAAAAACTAATTTCTGCCAGACCATTTTCCTGTTTACCCAGAAATTCTTATCAAATACAAAATTATTTTCCAGGTAATATATGGTTTCAGGTGTACCAAACTCTGATTCTTCCTTGTCCTGCCTTTTTTCCTGATCTAGTTTTCTATCTTTCTTGAAAATGAATATGAAATAGCTGAGATTATTTCAGTTATATTGATTAAATTGGGACAATTTCCATTTGTTCTTCTTCTGAGATGTTGTGAGTATAAAGCATAATAAAAAGTTCATATTTATATATAGTTCTTTCAGTTTAAAGAATTTATAGGTTTTCTCCACAATGAGCTTCTGAGGAAAGGCAAAACATTAATATCCTTGTTTGGAGATGAGAACTCTAACTCTCTGAAAGGTGAAAAGACTTGCTTGCCCAAGGTCACACAGTTATGGGGAAGAACCAGAATTTGAACCCAGATTCAACTTCAGTTGACTTATGGAAAGCCCAGTGATTATCCCCAAGTATTTTTATGCAGAACTTCTAAAGGGAGAGCTCTTCTGTCTAATTAAGAATTTTCCTTTATTGGATATCAATATTATTCAACACTCCAGAAATTCTAGATTTTCAAAGGATTCAAATTTAATTAAAACTTGTTAACAATTTTTAAATGGTGAACTCAATTTAATCCTTTCTAAGAAGTTAGAAGTCACCTTAGATTCAACATTGTTTATAATGTTATTGTAAGAAATAAAAAAGTATATATTTTTGCAGATAACATTAAAATTAATAAAATGAATGCATCAGGGTATTTCTTAGTAAAATTTCTCTTGCAAAAGTGAAATATTCTTGTAATCCTAATCTTTATTTCCAGAGAAAATGGCAAATGCATTCCATTTTCTGTGACTGCGA